CCATTGACCTCGCATCCCTACAAAGCCGGGACGGAGCACGCCGGGTTCTCACCGGACCAGGCTCTCACATCACCAAGCGCGAAGCGCCGTGAGGTATTCGGCGAGTCGCATGAAGGGTGCGCTGCATCCTGCTGAGGGCGTTCGGCATCTTGTACTCACTTCCTTGCGTACGAATGACAGCTGCGTATGACTTAATTTATTTTCTGGTGCTTTCACCTCCAGAGACAGTTGTAAGCACTGTGTAACTGCCTCGAGGATGCTTGACCAATTCAACACACCGTGGTGCGATTATCCCCCTTGCGCGGAGTGAGGGTTCTCGACCCCGCACAACATGATCTACTCGACCACCATTCATGGTTACCGCAAAAAAGAAAAACAGAGGTAATAAAAAAGCGGTAACCTGGTTGCCGAGCTCACGAAGTGACTTGGCTTGTTTTACGATGTCATCGCCAAGCGACGAAAACCCAACCCCAATGGCAAACACCGAGGGGGGCGGCTTGTTTACAACGTCGTTGCCAAGCAACGAAAACCCAACCCCAATGGCAAACACCGAGGGGGGCGGCTTGTTTACAACGTCGTTGCCAAGCAACGAAAACCCAACCCCGATGGCAAAACAGCGGGGGGCACCGTGGTGGGGGCAAGTGGTGGGGGGGAAGAAGAAACCAAAACAGCAGTGATCCCCAAAGTGGACAAGCAAAAGGAGGTCATGATGGAGAATGCAAAAAAACTGCATGATGAGCTGCGGGCCGCTCTTGAGGCCAGCAACGCAAGTTACCGTTAGGCCCGAGTTGAACGGGACGAGCAGAAGAAGTTATTGTCACTCGAGGCAAAGTGGGGGTCGAAGGTAATAGGAAGGAAGGTACAGGAAGCCCACAAGGCTGCGAGGTTCTAAGGAAGAAGGAGAGGAAATGGAGGGGCGGTCAAGCTCGGCGGAGGAGGAATTAGCCAAGCAGACTCAAATGGTGATTGAGTGCAAGGAAGAACTTTTTGGGGTGCAAAAACGAAAAAATGCGGCATTGGCAACATACACAGAGGCTACAACCAAGCACGGTGGGGTGGGGTTGAGAAAGGAACCGAAGGCTGCAAAACAAAATCTTGCAAGCCTGAAGGCAAAATAAAGTGCCACGGAAAACGATAACCGAGATAAGCGGAAGGAGAGTGAGGACGCAATAATGGCCTTGCTAGCTATCGGAAAGTCTGCTGGAGTGGAGACTTAGCCTGGATTCGTTCCCTTCTGTCTCTTCCCTAACAGCACTTTTTCCCTAGCCTCGGTTTGGGCTGGCTTCAGGGGAGCAGGCACCCGACAGGAACGCCAAACGACGAGTATCTGACTGCCTTACAGGGGTTGGGAGCGGTGACGCCGCCGGATGGTAGCATTCAATTTGGCCGTCAGAGAGAGTATATCTGACCAATTCAGCGTTCTGACAGTGCTTCCGTGTTCAGTGGCAACGAGTTGGGGGCGTTGCCGTTCGATAACATCGACACCTTGATGCATGAACTGCGCAACTTCGAGCGGGTGAGGGGGGGAGCAATGGCTCCGACGAAGACGGTGGCTCAGGCGAAGGATTACTCTGTGGAGAGGCAGAGGCAGAGGGGGGATGGAGGAGGAGGAACAGGGTCGGGGGGAACGAACACATTCCGGTCTGCATCTCCTGTGAGGTCCGGCAATGGAAAGTCGGACGATGGTTATGTGGGAAGGAGGGTGATGGCAATAGAAGAGATGGACTATTTATGAGGATGAGCGTGACGAATTTTCCAGGGTCTACATGTAGGGGATGCATCCGCCCCTGGCGATTCTCTTCTTGAGTGTGATGTTGAGGTAACAGCGCAGGAGGGAGGAAATTTTGGTCAAGCAACAGAAGAAGTATGTCGCATTTTCGCAAAACAAGCGTCTATTAACTCTGTGTCAGGACAAGGGAGGTGACTCGGGGCACCCTCCGCCTCCCTTGACATTTGTTGCAGGTGAAGCAGTCGCCGATATAATTTTTCTGTTGCTTGACAAACATTTCCTCCTTTCTGCGCTGTCACCTCAACATCACGCTCAAGAGAATCGTCAGGGGCGGATGCATCCCCTATATGTAGACCCTGGAATATTCGTCACGCCCATCTTCATAGTCCATCTCTCCCACTGACATCACGCTCCTTCCCACACACCACTGTCCGACTTTCCGTTACCGGACCTCACAGGTGATGCAGGACCGGAAGGTGTTCGTTCCCCCCGACCCTGTTCCTACCTATCACCATTTACTCGGTCGGTCGGAAGGTATCTGACGATGGATCGACATCGGCACACGACAAGGGTGCAAGCGTTCTCGGAGTGAAGAGCGACCAAGGTGAAGTCGTGGGAGGCTCTGTTGGATACGGGAAGTCCGGCGTCGTTTGTGCAAGAAAAGGCGTGAGCAACCGACGTTGGCATGTGGTTCGGCTTCAAGTGCTTGGCATCGAAATGGGGCTGAACAAAAGGTCGGCGTGGCGCGCCGTTGGTTACGGATCGAAGAGAAGAGTGCGATTTAATGTTGAAATGTGGAAGGGCGGGAAATCAGCGCCGGTTCATTTCGGTACACCGGCGGTGCGGACGAGTGTGTATGTGTATATCGTGCCAGACTCAGCTATGGGACATGATCTGATATCAGGGAGGGATGGCTGGGCTGAGTTTCCAGTTCGCAAATTCCAAGACGTGTCAGACACAGAAACAATTGTCGCTCTTGTCGGTTCATTCAAACACTGATGAGGTGGCAGGTAATCACCGCTTTGGAGAATGGGTGGGTAACGCGGTTGATACATGTACGGTGGAATTTGATGGGGATGTTAACGGGGTGGGGAAATCAAACGGTAGACGAAGGCTTCCGAATGCAATGTCATGGGTAGAGGTAAAATTGACCAATCTCGATGGCACTGACGCGGCGTTGGGGACGTACCGTGTGCAGTTTGGGAAGCAATGGGTCCCGCAGGAGACAGTAGTCGAAAATTGCATGTCTGGAATTCCTCCTAAGGAGGCTGGGAATAGCCCATGTCTGGTGAAACCATTTTGGGGGATGGTGGTGAACCCCTGGAGGTGGTAAATCTGGATGATGCTCGTTTGGTTGCAAAATAAGGAGGTCAGACATGTGTTTGCGGTTCAGGAGGATGAAGAGGCCGAAATGCCTAACGACGAACCTCCCGCTGATGCTGTGTATTCTTTGAATGTGGCGCAACAGGTGGCGTTCAGGCGGTTGTGGCAGAGGGTGCCGCCGCACATTCGAGACGTCCATTTCGACTTCAACGCGAAACTGTGGGGACCGTAGGACATCGACAAACTAGGTGATTTGTTGTGCAAGTTTGAGCATCAATTTTCGAAGGTTGGGTCGGACTTAGGATGGGTGACGGTGGATCCGTTCCGAATCATTTTGAAGCCGGGGGAACAGCCGGTGCGGCAGAGGTCATATCGATACTATTCGCCAGTTATAAACGAAAGGTGCAGGTCGAAATTGACAATTGTTGTCGGCGGGTGTGTTGCGCGGAGATCATACAGCAATTGGGCGAGTCTGCTGGTGGTAGTCGCAAAGGCTAACGGTGGTGTGCGGTTGACGGTCAACCATAAGCTCATCAATAAGATGAGTGTTCTCGAAATTGCTCATTCCCAAAGTGGAGGATATTTTGGCGGAATTGGACAAATCGAAAATCTTCAGTACGCTCGATCAACAACATGAGTGTAATCCCGAAATTGCCTATTCCCATAGTGAAGGATATTTTGGCGGAAATGGACAAATCGAAATCTTCAGTACGCTGGATTTGGCCGGTGGGTTTTCCAATGCAGTATTGAGGAGGACAGCATTCCGATCACTTCTGTTATCACGTCTTCCGGGTTGTACGAAATTTTGTCGGTGCCGCAAGGTCTCCGTAGCAGTCCGGGGTGGTTCCATTCGGTGATGGCCAGAGTATGTGACGGACTGGAACGTGTGCGTCTGTGTATCGATGACGTGATCGTTTATTCCAGGGACGGGGCAGAGCACGTGCGCGACCTGGAGAGGTTGTTCAAGCGCATGGTCAAGTTCAACCTGAAACTGGCGCCCAAGAAGACCAATCTGGGGGTGAAGGTGGTGACGTTCTTGGGACAGCAAGTCACGGCGTAAGGGATCAGGCCGAACCCGGGAACGGTCGGACCGCTGCGTGGAGTGACAATGCCCACTAATTTTAAAAATTTAGCTACGATCGTTGTTAGGGTCTTTGTCGTACTATCGGAACTTCCTGAAGAACATGTCGGCAAAGTTGAAGCCGATCAATATCATTGTTGCTGTTGTTGTTGTTGTTGTTGTTGTCTTCACATTAAACTCGTGTCAGTTGCTAATCCCAAGATCCAGCAAAGACTCGGTCCGTCGTCACAAAAATGATAGAGCCATCAACGGATCTAAATGCGACGCTGAAGAAGAGGGCGAAGTTTGCGTTCACGGGTGATCACGTGAAGGTGGTGAGGAAGACTATGGATGTTTTGTCTGGTCCTGAGGTTTTGGCATTTCCGTGTTATGAGGGTGCTATCTCGGCAAAGCGGCCATTTCGGTTAAATGCTGATGCGTCGATTTCGGGCTTGGGAGCCGCCGGTATTGAGCAAAGGAACGAGATAGAAGTACTAGACCGCTTTGCCTTTCGAGCAGAACAACATACTCGAATGAGGCGAGATGGAGTCCGACTAAACTTGAAGCGGAAGCGATAGTGTGGGCGATAAAGAAGAATCGAACGCTATTTTATGGCATCCCCTTTGAGGTGTTCAGTGACCATCAACCCTTGCGAAGTTTGGGGAGTTTGGCAGAGAAAAACAATCGCGTACGGAGGTTACATGACTTCCTTTCAGCGTGGGCGTACGAACTGAAATATCGACCAGGGCGAGAGAATGCAAATGCCGAGTTGATGTCACAGTTGCCATTGCCTTCGACGAAAGAAGATGAGGCACCAGATGTCGGGCAAACTGATCGGTCCGATCAAGCATACCATCAAGCTAGTGGACATCGGCAAAAACACCAATGTGGCGCTTCTGGAAAAGAATATGACGACGGACAACCAAGTACAAAAGGTACTGGCATGCACACCGAACGGCGAAAAGTGTCAAGAGTGCACGTTTGAGTTGGAAGATGATTAGGTGTTTGAATTTGAAGTGCGTAGGACGGCCGAAAAGCGTGCCAAGTGGTGCCGTCGAACACGGGTCAAAAGTAATTGGTGTTTAAATATGAAGTGCATAGGAATGCGGACAAGCGTGTGCCAAGCGGTGCGGTCGAATACGGGTCAAAGTAATTGTTGTTTGTTGTTTGGCAAAATCATGTACCTTGTGATGGAGTCATACTGCAGTAGTATCACGGTCATTAAGAAATTGGAAGTGTGTAAATACATGACTTGATATTTGGGGTAATTCAGGTTCGGACTTGTTGCAAGATAATGAAATTGGTTGTACGTCAGGTATTGCGCGTTTAGTTTATGTTTAGATTCAAACGAAACTGATGGCAGACAAGCATACGTTGAACCTGGTGGGGGCTAAGTCGTGCATAAGTCAACCCTAATTTTCGTAAGTGTAAGAAGGCTTGGGGTAGTCTAAGTAAGCACAGCATATACGTTGAGGCGTGATGGAATTGACTAGAGAATGTTGGCTCTAGGAGCAGGGTTGGGGTTAGTTTTGGTTGAGATATCGTCAAGTAAGTTCTAAAAGTATATGCGACGGTATTGAGAAAGTGTTGCTTTATGGATGGAAATATGAGTTTATGGAATTATAGTCATGTGTGTGTGAGAGAGAGAGAGAGAGAGTGCGATGGATAGATAGGCGCACCCGCCCTGCTGGTGTCGCACCCCCCCGTTGTTCAGTGTTCGACTTCCCTGCTGTTCCCAGCCCAAGAAGGCCTAAAAACACGCTTCGATCGCAAGTATCTTCGATACGCGCACACACACGGCGCCACTGGCACATGTACTCACAAATCTACGCGCGATAGGCCACCGCCGGCCGATTCCACGTCATCACGCCACACTTTACCTTCAAGGCGCCCGGAGGCTTGAGAGGAGGCACGCCCGGGAAAGGCCTGTCCATAGGAAACCTCCCCTTCCTGGCCTCCAGCATGGCAGACTTGTCCACGCTCTTGGCTGTTCTGGAAGAAGACAGCACCACCACCTGTTGGGGCGGGTGTCAGATTGAGGGTGGGGGCGGAATGAGCAACGGATTTTTGGTGTGTTCAGGGACAGGGATCCCTGCTCGGTGCACGCCCACCATCGTCGTTCGTCGGTGGTCGTCACAAACCCCCTCCCACCCCCCCTCCCATTATAAAGGATGGAAAATTGCTCGAGGTTCGCCTCCGGAGCCACTCCTGGGAGGCAAAACTAACGTCCTCTTTTTCGCATAAGCCTATTCGTTATTCGAGTTTGTTCTTTTTTGTGTGACCAACAACACCTTCCCGGTCGGCGGAAACCCAACGCTTTCCCCCCCCGCCTCTACCGTAGGTGACGCAAGATACTGTACCCCTTGACCGATTTTCAGAACACTCTACGAAGGAGAGGATGCATTAATGAAACGGAAAGCTCTCAACGAGATGGCTTCAACGCCGCCCCATTCGCCGCCTCCACTATTTCTGCAGTGGAGAAATCGAGCTTTGAAACTTGGTCCAGGGGATGTCTCGCACCTGCTGGGAGAGACTATACATGTTGGTTTGAGGAACCGGCAGGTATGGCGACGAGCTTATTGCGGGTGCGATGAACGTTTTAGTTCATGTGCATGTGTTCAGTAGCGGTTGTAAGTTAATTGCTCTCGAAGGCCCGCACGGTCCAACACACAAAGCACGTCCCTTGATACCTATCATCGGCCAACTGGGCAGCGTGTGTACACAAAGCCGGGCCCCTTTGGACCTTGCCTGGTAGCTATTGTTGAACAGGCCGGGGCTTGTGCGCACAACACCACACATCGCATTTCATCTTGAAGGTACAAAAAGCAACGGTTTCCATATCTATCTGCCCACAGCAAGAGGTAGCACTGTCCCGGATTACCCACGCCGGGCATTATAGCATTATGTGAGACCACTGCCCACAGCAGAAGGACAACAGACACACCCCAACACTTGGTCCCCACGTACTTGTCGAACCCGACATCGCTAAATATTCCAATATCCTACAGGCTGTGCACGCACCTCTTCGGGCTCCTCGACCTTAGTGGCGGAGTTGTGTAGCTCCCTTCCCCCGACAGTCCCCCCGCTACTCCTCGCTACCTGCTGTCCGGCGCGATGGTAGCCAGCAGCTTGGAGTGTTGGCGATGCTCGCCGCCCACCTGCTACTGCTGTTCTTAGAGCACCGGCTGCGCGAGCAACGCTGGCATTACCACGATGCTGCTGCCCCCTCGCCGCGGGGGCCAACACCGACTTGCCGCCACGAGCAAGCACGGAGTTCATCGCGCTAGATGCACTCCTGTGTGCGTGTCTAGTGGGTGGGTGCACTTGCCAAGGCTCGACTTGGTTGTACAGCGGTACAGCTGAACAGAGACAGCAGGCAGCAGGCTGAGCCGCCGGGGCCCCGCGACCAAGAACCGGGTTTCCAGACAAGCGCACAAACAAAACCAGGGGACGAACCTAACAGGGCCGAACGCTTCCCATTTCCCACAGTGCCAGAAGGAAAGCTCTCGCTATCTCGTTGTCTCCCCTGTCCGCCTTCTCTGTCCTTGTCCCCTCGATCGGTTCGAGCGCTACCCTTCCACAAAGTTACTTGGGTCGAGGGATGCCGCGCAATCTGGGGGCGGCAGCCGCAAGACCTGCGCGCCATGAGAATGTTGGCGTCAAGACTGTCCCCAGTGTTCGCGAAACCGTCGAGACTTGCGCTTGGCTGGGCGAGGCCCTGACCAGAGACCTGCAGCAAGACATGGAGTCGAACGATGCACAGGGACAAGCGCTTCGAGAGGCGGACATTGAGTGAGGAACCCTAGTGATTGAAGAGGTGTTGCTCTTGTTTTTGATGCCATACTCGTGTGTATGTCGATGTGGGGACTTGTGTTCGTGTACAACTTCTTAACGGCAGCATAATGGGAGGGCGTTCTGTGAGACCTGAGGCGAAGTTGCTTACACACTGCCGTCCATGAATCTTTGCTCAAAACATCCCCAGAATGCAGAAAAGTAGGCGCGCGTTGCGGTTGTCCTTCTTGCTTACCCCCCTATTGGTAAGGTTATGCCGTTCAAAAAGCGAAACTGAAAGCTTGCAAACAAACGTCGCAACAATAGTTGCTCCTGCCTGGACTTTAGGTCTCTTTTCCCCCTACAAGTAGCATACATGCACCTACGCTTTACCGATCGCCGAGGCTAGAGCTTGGAGACTTGACACAGTGCACAGCAGTTCAATGTTTATTTGCAGTGGTGTGCCGCAGGGCTGACGTTTATTTTTGCTTGGCATTTTTCGCGCGCATCGCCGTTTGATGTCAAACTACAAAATGGGGGCTTCGTGATTGGCTGTGCAACAGGATCCTTGGTTCCCAAGGCTAGAGCTGGAGCCCGCAAATGCTTGGTAGTTTGATATCCGCGTCTACGGAAACATCACTGGTGCGCACTGTTTCGCTTCTCCAGTCCCCTCATTGGTCTTTTGCATATGTACGTGAGTGCGTATATATTGCCTTCCCTCGTGTGTACTTCGGATGCTGCCGCCGCCGCTTGCCAACGACCGCCACAGCCTGTCATCTTTGCGCATCCTCCCCAACCGTGAGCTTCTGCACTCGAAGATCCGGGAGGCCCTGACCTGCTGGGACAAGGCAAGACAGAATCGCACCATGTAATCGCTACCACGTCTTTGTGGCCGTGCCGTGGTACACCATGCCTAGTAGATGTTGGCATGAACGCATCTCTGAAAAACCGACGACCGTGAAAATATTAATATGTCAACACGCTGCCCAATTTCATCCCCAACGTTGTCCATTCCTATCCCACCCATATACCAACCAAAAGGGCGAGAGGTCAAGCTCAGTGTGTGGCCCTTGTCAAAGCTACCCTTGCCGCCGCTTCTATCCCCGTGAAAGATCATATCGCTAAGTACGATCTTCCGTGCCGCCCGCGCCCCCCCTACTCACCATTCCCCCAAGAGAAATCTACCATCTTCATACTCCGTGCCCCCGCCCCCCCCTTACTTGCCTCTCCCACCCCCATGAGAGACCTTGTCGTCGCTACATATCATCTTCCACGACTACTCCCCCCCCGCGCCTACTACCACCCCTCACTAGAGACCTATTAGTCGTTACCATCTTCCGTGACCCCGCCCCCGGTCCCACCGCCAACGCAGACCTTGTTTACGCTATCATCTTCTGTGGCCCACACACACACACTTACGGCTCCGTCCTCTCGAGGATGCTAGGTCAATGACCTGACCGCTGAGGCATGCAAAACATAAGAGTACCCCCGCCCCCCACTTACCACTACTAACAGAGAACTTGTCGTCGTTACCATTTTCGGTGACCCCCCCCCCCTGCACTCTCGTCCTAAAGCTTGCCCAGCGTATTCCCTTGAAGCGGCAACGGCCGGAGGGCCATATCGGCAGGATGGCCGGATCTGACGACATGTACCTCGATTACGACATCGACGAAACGACGGTGCCGCCTGAGCCTCCACAGGGGGTCAGCGACGTGCAACTCTACCAGTACTACGTGCAGCGAATCATGTCCGCGGTGCCCCGGGCGCACTCCCTCAAGGGCCGAACTACGGAGGGGCCCATTCCTCTCAGGATTTGCCGGTGAGGTATTAAGGGGTTGGGGTGGGGGTGTACTCATGTCAACGCATGCCACAGTTCGTTAGAACATTGACCTCGCATCCCTACAAAGCCGGGACGGAGCACGCCGGGTTCTCACCGGGCCAGTCAAGCGCGGAGGGTGTGTGTGTGTGTGTGTACAACGCATGCCATGAGTCGATAGACCATTGACCTCGCATGCCGGGACGGAGCGATTTGCCGGGTTTTCGCCGGCGCCCAGGCTATGTTTTACAAGGATAAACGAGGGAAGGGTATGAGGGCGCCGGGGGGGGGGGGGGGGGG